TTATTGTCTAACAAGATTAAGATTATTTAAAATATATAAGATTTTATTATATTTGTGTTTATTTCAATTAAGTATTTTTTTATAAATGAAAATTAATTCCCTCCCATTATGTTTCATTAAAATTAATTATAATTTAAAAGTTTCGGGAAAAAAACGTTTTTTCTTCAATTTATAAATAGATTTTTTATTTCTTCTTTCTTTGGAAAAAGTAAATATGGTAGGTTTTAACACATGTGTATTTTTTTAAACGAATTTTTATACCCTTGGGACAGAAACTGAGAAAATCCGCGGAAAAATTGGGAAAAAACTAACCTGTTTTTTTGAAAATTTAGAAAATTGATATTTTTAAGACTCCTATTTTTTCATCACGGCCATTTTATGACGTCGAGAACACACCTTTAAAATTCTTGAGAAATATGTTGAAATAAAAAAATATATTCATAATATAACACCTGTAAAAAATCGAGCAGATCTGTAAAATATTAAGTGTGTATGCAAATTGTTAATCTTAATATATGATAAAAATGAAAAAAATTTGTAAAAAAACAGAACTCACTAAATTCTGATTAATCTGATCAATAATTTAAAATGACTTTTAATAAAGAATTATCTGCTGTATTTTGATGACGCAGATAAAAATTATTAACTTCTTCATTATTGTTAAACGACAATTACAGAATTGGAAATTAATGTTGGCAATTTTTATATTATTCATCGATCAAGTTAGTTTAATTTGAGTTTGATGGAAGTCACTCTAACACTTTTGTACACTTGCCTAGTGGGTCTATAGCTTTTTTTGCTTCAATTAATAAATAACCAATTAACAAAATAAAATTAACGTTGCATACAGTTTACCTTTTTAACCCTTTGCACTCGAGGTCTCCGGAGCGGAGCCATTTAAAATTTATTTTCAAACTCGAGAGTTCCGCTATGGAGACAATGCAAATAATTTTCAGTTCATAACATAAGGACAAAGACAAATCGTAAAAACTGTTGTGTATAGGATATTCCACTCTTGCTATTTGCATTTGAGTTTGAAGAGTTTGAAGACAAATTTTAAATGGCTCCGCTCCGGAGTCCTCGAGTGCAAAGGGTGAATTTACTACAACACACAGACGCGCGCACTACTTAACTAATTACTCTTAAATCTCGGTTTATGTAATGGAATAAGCATTATACAAAAGAAAATAATATTTATGTTATTGTAACCGAGAACATTCGTTTGAATATTGAGCTATATTAAAATTTGATTAAGATCACTAAATACAATTAACTGAGTTGAAACTTTCTAACTAAAACAGAGTTTTTGTCTGATAACACACACACACATTAACTTTCTTATGTTATTTTGTACGTTTTCTAATAAGAAGACAGAGAAACAAAGTCGTTTCATTGGCTATATTTTATCTTAATTTTTTAAGATCATATATAGTTAATGAAATTACTCTGTGTCCCTTGCTGTTATATCTTGGTAGAGAAATTATCTCTTTGTATAGTGACATGTCAACATTACAGTAATAGGGTTCTGTTTCTGCTTAAGGTTCTTGAATATTCACTATGGCTTCCTTTTTTAATGACGTCAGAAGCGCGGAAAGTCATGTCAATTTTTATGTTATTGTATATATCATGAGAAAAGCATTCGAGCCCGAACTTCAGGCGATTGTTTGGAAATATTTAAGAAGAATCCAACGGATTTCAAGAGATGATTGACCTGGAATCCCCACTACACATCAGAAATAAAAATGCAATAAAAACAGTGGATTGAACATGATGAATCGGTTCTGAAGAAAGCAAAGATTAGTCAATCAAGTGGAAAAGTGACGGCATCGGTTTTTTGAGATACCAAAGTAATTTTGCTAATTTATCTTGAAAAAGGAAAAACTATTGCTGGTCAATATTATACATCACTTTTGGACAAACTGAAAGTAGCAATTCAGGAAAAATGCCCGGAAATGATCAAGAAAAAAGTATTGTTTCACCACGATAAGAATCCGCTCATTCAAATTTAGTCACACGGTTATTTTGGAAACTTCGGAGAAAGTCTTTTCCGGGAAGGAATCGAGAAAAAATTGACAGAATTGAAGTTCGAAATCCTTCCGCATCTATTGTACTCGCCTGATTTGATTCTCTCAAACTTCCATCTGTTTCCGAAACTCAAAACATTCCTAGGTAAAAAGAAATTTCAGTCAAATGAAGAGTAGATCGACGCTGTTAACGGTTATTTCCATAGAGATATAAGAATAGAGGGAACAAGCCTGTAAGTGGAAGTGATAGAGGCAAAGAGAGAGATGGATGCCGAGTGTCCTATCTGTCTCTTTCTAGTTGAGCGCTGTGATTGGTTGTTACAATGAGCCACCAAGACGACCACGCGACGTCAGGAGGGGAGAAAGCAGACTAAAATTTCGTTTTGTAAATATGCGTGCACATGTGTGTAGAATTAAAATTCGTTAAATATTCGAACGTTAACAAAATAATAATTGGACGCGATTTGTTTAAAAATGAGGCATTGTTTGAAATGCAAGGCGGAGTCTTATCCTGGATGTAACCGCAGTTTTCACTCGTAAGAAAGTACAAATACGTAACCTCAAATAATTATATGTTATTTTTTCCTACATTTAAAAAAATATGTAAATGTGTAGGCTACCGAAGGATGTAGATATAAGGCGTAAATGGTTGAATATACTTCAACTACATTTGTATTTTGAAGTGAAAACAGCATATATTTGCAGTGATCATTTTAGCAATGAGAGTTTCTTTAAATTGGATGGAGAAAAATGTATAGCTATATCGTCGTTGGCGCGGCAGCCAATCCCAGCGCGTGACTAGAAAGAGACAGATAGGACACTCGGCATCCATCTCTCTCTTTGCCTCTATCACTTCCACTTACAGGCTTGTTCCCTCTATTCTTATATCTCTATGCATATATCCCTTGTTCCCTCTATTCTTATATCTCTATGGTTATTTCGGAGACTTCGAAGAAAATCTCTTCCGGGAAGGAATCGAAAACCTGGAGAAACGTTGGACCAAGTGTGTTGAGTTTTGAGGGGATTATATTGAAAAATACAATATAACTTGAATTAGATTTATTTTGTTTTCGTTGTCACACCGGAAACTTTTATTCTACCCTCGTATATATACATATACAATATATGTATATATACATAACAATATGTAGGGAGAAGAATGATGCGCGCATGTTGAACGGAATATAAATATATACGGTGTCGTATTTCTTATCCACGGAAATTGTGGACGTACCAAATGAAAACATTATCAGCAGTACAGGAAAGTGGATGCGGCGAAATAGATCTGTAAAAGTGGATGCAAATGGCGTATCAAATAGTCGCATAAAACGGTTAAGAAAAACGCCGGTGTGACCACTTTCAGGTTTCTCTTTGATGAAACTAATCGCACGAATTCAAGAATCGAATCCCAAACTCTCACTTCTAGAACTCTAAAGTTGCGTTCGGAAACACACACTGTGTGCATACTCGTACTACTATTATTAGTAGACATCAGCTGTTCTGAAACACCCAGATTGTACTTGTAATTCTGTCCTCTTGCCGGATCGAGATTGAATTTGGCCAATCAGTACAAAGTTAACTGAATTTAAGTTTAATAAAATTTACTGAACTTTGCACTGATTCATCAAATTTCAATTTAATCTCAATCTCCAATCCATAGTCTGATACGGGCTTTAGGGCTAAACACTTTCCCGAGTGCCTGGAACTAGGTATTTAGGATGAGGAGGAGGAAGGATAGTAGGAGACGTCAAAATAGGTTAGCTGCTCTCGGAAGCTGGTTTAAACGGAGTCTATAATGAGAATTTGAGGCGTAAGGTTTAAGAAATTGACCAATCATAATTGATTTTTTTTCTATAATTCGACTGTGATTGGTCAATTTCTTAAAGTTTCGAGTTTGAATTCTTATTGTAGATCCCGTTTTATGAATTATAAAAAAGAAAGCAAGTTAGTACGAAGTGAAGCACAGTTTGAGTGCTCACGGCCATATATTGGAATTGGCAGAAAGGTTAAATAACAAGAACAAGCTGTAACGATAATTCATCTAAAGATGGAAACAATATGGTGCTGAATCTCATGATTTATCTAGCCAATCAGGCGGTTTTCCTCAATATTGCTTCTCTATTTAACTAAGACTTTAATAGGAATAGGTAAAATCATCGATGTTTGAAGAATATTGATGTTCGCTCATTGAGAATGTGTTGTACGAATTTGTCGGATGTGCTGATTGGCTATCAAATAGAGAATTCTTAAAGTCCCTAACATTCTCTCTAGATATAATACCACTTCAATGAGCGAACATCGATGTTTTTCAAACTTCGATGATTTTGCCTATCTCAAATACGTAATATGAACTATAGACTTTCAGTGCAGCCAGTGGATTTTGGAACACAACCCTAAGTCCTAATCTACAATAGGTGCTTTAAGCCCTAAACTTTAAGAAATTGACCAATCACAATCGAATGTAAAGAGAATAATTAACTGTAATTGATCAATTTCTTAAAGCTTACGCCTTAAATTCTCATTGTAGACTCCGTTTAAGTTTCATTCTATAACAGATGTTTTATGCTCTAAGCCTTAAGAAATTGACCAATCACAGTCGAATGTAAACAGAATAATCGGCTGTGATTGGTTAATTTCTTAAGATTTAGAGCTTAAAGTACTTATTGTAGACCAGGACTAATTATAGTCGATGGACATGCATCGTTCGACAAACGCCGGCAAAACTCGGCAATTGAACGTGCAAGTACGACGCGAACAAAGTGGTACTGCGATAATTCCGTCTTTGTCTCGCGTCACGTCTCACCTGAACAATGAAAGTGCGCAACATAGGGTGAGTGGGAGAGGCAAGAAAGAGAAGAGGGAGAAAGAAAGAGAGAGGGAGAGAGAGGGAGAGTGAGAAAAAAGAACGAGCAGCGAAGGTGGGAGGGAAATCGCCCGTCTTGCGAGCCGTCATGGCTGAATCATTGTGAGAATACTCGTAGGAAAACCGATAACAAATGACGTTGCATCTGACTCATTAGGCGGCGAGTGTCGCGGTATCCGTCTCTCGGGATAAGGTTACAAGACACCTCTGACTCGGCTCAGTTGCGATTCAGGGGTTACGAGAAGAAAAGAAAGGGAGAGAAAGAAAAGAACAAACGAGAGCGATCGCTGACAATATAGTTCGATGCCGAGACTCGACGAGGTGAAGAAGACGGTGATACAGACGGTGTTTAGTGCGTGCGCGGCCGTGTGAAGCCGCTGTACGTACGTCCCCGATTGTGCCGCACAATGAACGGGTTAAGCTTGAGTGAACTGTGTTGCCTGTTCTGCTGTCCGCCCTGCCCGTCCAGGATCGCCGACAAACTGGCCTTCCTGCCGCCTGAGCCCACATACACGTTCGTCGAAGACGAGGGCTCTAAGTTCACCATCTCGCTGTCGGAGCGCGCCGAGTGGCAGTATACCGAGCGCGAGAAGGAGTCAGTGGAGGGCTTTTACGCGAGGACTTCGCGCGGCAATCGTATAGCATGCCTGTTCGTGCGCTGCTCAGCAACTGCGCGCTTCACCATCCTTTTTTCCCATGGCAATGCTGTCGATCTTGGTCAGATGTCGAGTTTCTACCTTGGTCTGGGCTCACGCATCAACTGCAACATATTCAGCTACGACTATTCTGGCTATGGTGTGTCAGGCGGCAAGCCGTCCGAAAAGAACCTGTACGCGGATATCGATGCCGCGTGGCACGCGCTACGTACACGCTACGGCATCAGCCCAGAGAACATAATACTGTATGGTCAGAGCATCGGCACTGTGCCCACGGTCGATCTCGCTGCACGCTACGAGGTTGGCGCGGTTGTGCTGCATTCGCCACTCATGTCTGGAATGCGAGTCGCCTTTCCAAAGACCAAAAGGACTTGGTTCTTCGACGCCTTTACCAGGTAAGAGACGATGATGACTCGTCTCTCCATCTCTCTTTCTGACCGCTGCACGCAGTTCATGTTGGCTACGAGTATCCTTTGATGTGGGATATATGCTCTTTATTATCGGGTGAGATCAGATATTTCACACGTGTGAACCTGCCGTACAGCTTTCCTTCTCTATCTCTTTTCCTCCTTTTTCACTCTTTCTTGTGCGCGCCTTTCCTTTCTCTCAAGTGTAAGGCCATGCACGTGGCATAAGGAAGAACCCCTCGTCGCATGAATCATTTGTCAGGATTTTGAATCGAAAAGATCAATACACAAAAATGAGTTAGAGAGAGACAAACCCGAGGATGCAGTTCTCGGGTTTTCAAGCTGTAACTTTGAATGTGTGACCATCGTCAAACGAAGAAGCGCGTAGTAAAAGGGAAATTTGGACAAGATTTGTTTGTTGAATTGCATCTTCTACACTTTGTTACTTTTCACTCGTTCCTGCATTTTTGGCACATGCATACACCTGTTTACGGACAGTAAGTACAGCTACAATGAACAAACAAAATCGGTATGACACTTGAAAGTTATACACACATACTGGGCAATAGAGAGTTAATATTAGGTTAACGTGAAATTCGTTATTTTCTCTCTTCATCCATTTTCTGTTTTCGAGCGAAATTATTAATTCGAATTTTTTTAATGGAAATCAAGTTGTTATCTTTCTCTAGTTGAGAAAAGGTTTGTCAAAATCAACACTGTGATATTGGTGATTAATGAAAATCACTTGGAAGCTGGGTAATTTCATTTCAAGCTTTTGTTCGATAGGTATAATGAATATTTTGCGTCAATTTGACATAGGTGACAATCTTCATACGTACATATGTTGCCCAAATTTGATACTTAATTTACGTTCTGAAATTTACTACCAGTACTGAAAATCCATATCCGTAACTTAAACTATAGATTTTTAACACTGGCAGTGAATATTGAAACGCAGCTTTAATATACAATTTCATTATTTCATATTATATATATGTTCATTTTTTTAATTATACAAGGATTATCTGGAAAATGAAATAAACGTCGAAATTGTTTCTCATAAGTTTTCGAAAATATAGAAGAAACCCGTCCATAGAATATTTAGAGAATATTTTCCATTCTATAATAGCGTAAACATAGTTATAAGTGGTTGCAAAATATCGCAAGACAGTTGTAAACTACCAGTTGTAAAATGTATTGTGAAAGAAGATTGAACTTCTTTCATGACTACGATAGCGTAAGAGTCAATCAATCAAGGTGTTGTTACGAAAATGAATGTGATGATAACTGCATTCTGATTAATTGCCATACGACGTATCCGTTGTAGATTAATCTGTTGCACAACATTAATTAAGGGCCGTCTACATTGGAGGTAATAGCATTGCGGAGTAAGAGAGTTTTTTTAGTGGAATAAAGCGTAACACCAGGAGCAAAGAACCATTTACAATAGCTTTAAAGTATGTACCAAGCCATAAGCAGTAAGCTAATGGACCAATTGGACTTTTACAGTTTAAAGGACCTTCTATATTAGAAGTAAGCAATAATCAGTAAAGAGTGTCTACTTGGAAATAAGCAATATTAAGTAAGGAGTAGTGTATTGACTGGTAGTAAAGCAATAGGAAATAGGAGATGATCCATTTCGCTTATTCCCGGTGTTACGCTTTATTTCACTGAAAAAACTTACTCCCTATTCCGCAGTGTTACGTTTTAAACATGGTCTACAATGAGCAGTAGCAGTAGTACATTTATAAGAAGTAAGGGTAAGAAATTAATTATAGTCGATTATTCTCCTTACATTCGAATATAATTAGTCAATTTCTTATTCTTATTTTTTATGAACATACTCCTATTGTTCATTGTAGATTTCGCTTAAAAGACCGTCTACATTGGAGGTAATACGGAGTATTGAGTAAGAGATTTTTCAATAGAATAAAACGAAACATCGGGAGTAGTGAAATGGATCATTCCCATCTTCTACTCCTTACTACTTTACTATTAATCAGTACCCTACTCTTTATTTATTACTGTTTACTTCTAATGTGCACGGTCCTTAATATAGACGATCCTTTACACTACTGTAGAACAGTTTTAACAAAGCCTACTCTATCAGTAAATCTCCAAAAAGACTAGACATTTTTTCGTAATATATTTTCTGTCTGAAATCGGGAAAGCGGCCATAACCATTTCCTTCAATTCTTTTGCGATCTTTTTCCCAGCTAAAATGTCTGAAGAAAAACGTACAGATGAAAATTCAACGAGACGAGACCCAGACTACGTGGTGAACGCCGCGGAATCTCTCATTTTCGTTGTTCAAGGCAAGCTTCATCTGCTCAGATCGGTACCTCATCATGCAGAAATTTGACTAGCATAATAATGGAACACGTGTTATCTGAAAATGATATAGAAATATATAAAGATAGGCCGTGTTAAATAATTCATGATTTTTTTATATTTTTGAAAGTAAAACTTGGAATAATTGCGATCTGCACCATATTTTCTGGACGGCCGTCGTATTGTACACACTGCCCTGACATGATTAACATTACGAAAAAATTATTGGCGATGCTGAAAGTATAACATGAAATAGCTAAAAGAAACAGATTCTGAATCTTATATGATAAGATTCGTGCTAGAATTAATTTATAGAATTGACCGAATTTGATGGTAAAAATAATTTCAATATGATATTTTGCAGCACTGTTTGTCGATTCGACGATCACTGTTGATATATTTTTCATTCGCGCTAAGTTGGCTACTGTAACATGTACGGTACTGTAACATGTATTCGTAAATACACGTAACGATTTTGAATATACATTCACAAGTAGCGTGTATAAAATATTCACAAAATATATTTCCTATGGAAATGCGCGTTTATATGATAAATTTTATCTCCGAAAATTGTATCGTGTGGTACTTCTATAAAATATATACTGTATTTATAATGCAGATATATGTTCTCTAAGTCGTTGCTAATATTTTGCGAATGTGTTTTTGCTCCATGTGGTTCGTCGGGTAAGATCGTTGATATCTCCACTGAAAAATTACATAAAGTTTATGACCGTCGTTCAAATATATACTTATGTCATGTGGATGTGTGCTTGTGAAGCCTGTGCGTTACGCACGATTTGTATTATAATACGTTCTGCTAATTGATTTTGTGCGGCTTTTATAATATCTTTTATAATATCGATAATTATCTGCACGTAATAGTAATTTATGTTGTTTACATGGAAATATAAATAGGCGTACCGACTGATAATGTAACTTATATAACTTAACACGCGCGAAGACTGCCAACGATACCCGGGTACCGGTAACGATGATTTATAAAATTTATTTAGAATATATCTGTTTGTTATCTGCGATGCTGTATCTCGAGTATTATATGTTCGAGCCGTTTAATACATTTTCTTTTTCATATCGTATTTTTTCATTGTACGAGTTTTGTGTTAGCAATTTTTATTGGAATAAACACATATTCTTTATGAAGTACTAGGTTTGCACACCAAATTTTTTTAAAAATTATGACTCGCTCAAAATTATTGTTTGTATATTAAAAAAAAATTAGAAAACCGTCTAAATGTCTAGAGAAAAAGTATTGAATTGATGTTGTTTAATTTATTTGTAAGAATTAATACTTTGAAACTGATTAATTCTGTTTCCAATTTTATTTGACAAATGTGATAGATTCAATTTTTATACTAATTCAACATACAGTTTAATACATTTTCTTTTTCATATCGTATTTTTTCATTGTACGAGTTTTGTGTTAGCAATTTTTATTGGAATAAACACATATTCTTTATGAAGTACTAGGTTTGCACACCAAATTTTTTTAAAAATTATGACTCGCTCAAAATTATTGTTTGTATATTAAAAAAAAATTAGAAAACCGTCTAAATGTCTAGAGAAAAAGTATTGAATTGATGTTGTTTAATTTATTTGTAAGAATTAATACTTTGAAACTGATTAATTCTGTTTCCAATTTTATTTGACAAATGTGATAGATTCAATTTTTATACTAATTCAACATACAGTTTAATACATTTTCTTTTTCATATCGTATTTTTTCATTGTACGAGTTTTGTGTTAGCAATTTTTATTGGAATAAACACATATTCTTTATGAAGTACTAGGTTTGCACACCAAATTTTTTTAAAAATTATGACTCGCTCAAAATTATTGTTTGTATATTAAAAAAAAATTAGAAAACCGTCTAAATGTCTAGAGAAAAAGTATTGAATTGATGTTGTTTAATTTATTTGTAAGAATTAATACTTTGAAACTGATTAATTCTGTTTCCAATTTTATTTGACAAATGTGATAGATTCAATTTTTATACTAATTCAACATACANCGCACGATTTGTATTATAATACGTTCTGCTAATTGATTTTGTGCGGCTTTTATAATATCTTTTATAATATCGATAATTATCTGCACGTAATAGTAATTTATGTTGTTTACATGGAAATATAAATAGGCGTACCGACTGATAATGTAACTTATATAACTTAACACGCGCGAAGACTGCCAACGATACCCGGGTACCGGTAACGATGATTTATAAAATTTATTTAGAATATATCTGTTTGTTATCTGCGATGCTGTATCTCGAGTATTATATGTTCGAGCCGTTTAATACATTTTCTTTTTCATATCGTATTTTTTCATTGTACGAGTTTTGTGTTAGCAATTTTTATTGGAATAAACACATATTCTTTATGAAGTACTAGGTTTGCACACCAAATTTTTTTAAAAATTATGACTCGCTCAAAATTATTGTTTGTATATTAAAAAAAAATTAGAAAACCGTCTAAATGTCTAGAGAAAGTTTAATACATATACATGCAATGATATGTACAATTTCATTATACGTAGCTTGAATTAATGTACAAAATGTTCCATACAACATAATATTTTCATGTAGGAAACTCTATTCATGTAAAAAAAAATGAATCGAAAAGTGTTTTACGCCAGGTTTTGTTTTCGAAGAGATTGATCTCGGAAACTGGAAACTCGATAATACTTTCAAATTTTTTTTTAATTGTGTTCTCTTTGACGATTTTGTGTCATATGTTGCAACCTTAATCTTTCAATCTTCAACAGTTCACTCTTCCTCATTGTTATCTCGTGTAAAATTTGAATATTATTATTTTTTTACAGCATAGATAAAGTACCGAAGGTAACATCTCCTGTATTGGTGATTCATGGCACTGAAGACGAAGTGATAAATTTTAGCCATGGTCTAGCAATTTACGAAAGATGTCCACGAGCAGTAGAACCACTATGGGTCGAGGTATCAAAAATTGATTGAAAAATGCCTGACATATTCTTTTTAAATATATTTTATTTCGGCTATCACATTCTGTCTGTGTATATCTCATATATTATTACATATATCTATATCTTAATATATAATTCCATAACGTTCCTTTTTTTGTTAAGGGTGCTGGCCATAATGATGTAGAGTTATACAATCAATACCTTGAACGACTGAAGCAATTTGTAAGCGTGGAATTGGTAAACTGACGGCGACTCAGCCTCTCCCAGAGCCAGGGGGGGCAAGGAGGGGGCCACATGCATGCGAGCAGTCAGGGACGTACTATTTCCAACAATTCTAATACCATCAGCTCAATTTCGACTAGCTCTCCGACGGAGAAGCTTGTCTAGCAATCGCCTCCCACAGGGGAGAAGACGCCCGTCCTTCCCTGTGATGAAGAATCATCTTTTGCCTCCGTAGACGATGTATTCTTCTTTTGCGAGCAGCAGCAACAGCAGCAAGTTGTATGCCAGGAAACTCATCGCCCTGGATCCTTCAAGAAAACGCGATCCAAAGACGAGAATCCAAATGCTGAAGATAATTCGAAAAAGTGTAGCGTAAGATCGGAGAGTAAGAATTTTAAGAAAGATTTCTCCACGAACGCAAAGGACAAAGGGCAGAGCAAGGTCGTCACTGACGAAAAGAAAGTAACCGATTGCCACGATTTTCGATTTAACCGTACCGACAAAGTTACCAAGAAATATACTTACCTGCCGAAAAATTTGAAGAACCCTTTTGCTCAGAACCAGAAAAATATCGTTCACAGAAGCTTGAAGAACTCGTTCGGTCAGAATCACAAGAAGACAGACAGCCAAAGAGCTCACACGACCTTGATCGATATACTAGTAGAAGACTGCCGACAATGCGCGATCGGAGAAAAGTCGGTCGCATCGTTTTCCAATGCTTCCGGTGATGTTAAAAGGGATATTACGGATTGTAGAGGTACTCTCACTCAGCCCACAGCTGAGAAAAAGTCTCCAGGATCTCGATTCAAGTACAATTGCATAGAGTCGACGTTGGAGCTGAATAGTGCTAACAAAAACAATGGACAACGTTATTACAACAAAATCTCGATCGTAGACAATATAACGAAGTGTAAGAAGTCCGATGAGGTACACACGGAAACCACCAAGAAATTTTTCTGGGGTTGCACGTGTACCAAGATGAGGAGGAAGGGTCTGGAGAAGTGTAAGGAACAGGAAAAGAGTGACTCTATTGAGAGCTTTGACTCTTACAACGATGCCAAGCAATTAAAAAAGAAGAAACCTGCTTGTAGCCCATTGAAAAAACTCGGCCGATCGTCCCTAACGGTAGGTTCGGACAAGATCGCGATAAATCTGCCAAAATATTCCCCTTGCGCGAGCAGGTTAGCCGCGGGTTCAAAAATCTTATCATCCGACTTAGCGGCGGATCCGGATAGTCCGCTTCACGTTCCACGCTCGAGAAGTCCGTCTAATGTCGACATACAGCAAACCGAGAATTCTGCGAAACCCTCGGAGAGAACGTCGATGCAGGCTAGCCTGTCATTGAACATACAACAGTTTCAAAGGAGCCGATATACGCCACGTAGCAGGAGCGTAGGCGACAGCTGTGTAACATCACCTACCAGCGAAGCGACCACTGTCAGTTATTCGCCCACCGGAACGGAAATATTGTCTCTAGAAGAAGTTGGACCACATACGTCGTCGGCCGAAGGCTCGGTCAGTTATTCGGAGGTTAAGGAGAAATTGGAAGTCGTCGAGTGTTCTGACAAAGTCAACAGAAGAACGACTCTGGAGACGAAGTGTTAATGAAGCGGGCTATTCGTGACAACACAACGTTGTGATTAGCNTCTCTCTCTCTCTCTCTCTCTCTCTCTCTCTCTCTCTCTCTCTCTCTCTCTTCCACGTATATACGTCTCTTTTATGAAGGAAAGGATCACAGTCTTGTATAACCTGCGTTCGTCGTAACCCGCTTGGGCTGTAATGTGTTAGTGAGAAATTATACACACAGGCGACTATATACAACAGGCGTTTATAAGATTTACTATATTTCTAGAAATGTGAAATATATATATATACATATATGTGTGTGTGCGCGTGTGTGTGTACATATATATATGTATATATATGTGTGTGTGTGTGTGTGTGTGTATATTCAAAGCATAACGCTCGTATGTAAGGAGAATGTATCAAACTAAACAGGGAAATTATGTGCCATTTTGCATATTTCGCAATAATTATTAAAGAATTAAACAATATGAGGCACATTTTTTTGTCACATGGCTCAATGTCGTATGCAACTCATTATGTTACTCCGCCTCTCATCACAATTGTTCAGAGAAAAGGTAAGATATCTTACAAATTGGTAGCCATTTTCTTTTAGACGTGCTTAGCGAATCCGTCCTACCATTTTCCATGCGCTTATTTGCTCATATTGTTTAATTTCTTAATAATTATTGTGGAATTTGCAAAATGATACATGATTTCCTTGTTCAATTTATTCCGTCCTACTTTTACGCGAGCATTATATTTTGAATTGTCAGACACCTTGTGTCTACACCCTGTATATACACACATATATACGCATGCATATATATATAAACACACATACATAGGGTGTCTGGACTTAGCGGTCGAAATACTCGTAAGTAGAACTTGTTGAACTCAATAGAAAAATCCCCCACTTTGCAAATTATTTTTCATCTTGCAAACTATCACGATTATTGATATTGATTAAAGAAAGTCGGTGAATTATTTATTGATCAATTTTCTTCTATTGATATCTTAATAATTATCGCGATAGTTTTTAAAATAAGAAGGATTTCTCTACTCGGTTTAACGAATTCTACTATCTACGAGCATTCTAATAAGAGTTCAGACATCCTGTATATGGGACATATATGTGCATATATGAGTATACATATGTGTGTGTGCGTGCGTTCGTGCGTGCGTGCGTGTGTTCACGCGCGCGCACGTATATGTATGTGTGTGTACACACGACATACACACTTATGCATACTGAATATTCTTACTTACATATACACACACACATTTACGTGCACGCATGCGACGTAGACGCGCAGATGTTATTAAGAACCGTTTTTGCAGAATAGCTTGCAAAACGTTGTTGCAACAAATGCGTCGAATATTATTATTTTTATTATCCTCCTTAAAGTTAGGGAATATCGTTGGAATAGTTCGCACATGTCGCTATATTAGTTTGTTTCGGAGAAATGTTAAGCAGGTGTTGGTAATGTGCAGTAACTTTGCGCAAAGGTATCTGGCTGAATCTCCGTATTTTCCTCATTTATGCGATTGATATTGTCATTTTTTTCTTAAGAATCGAGCCTTTAAAAACTCTGATATCGAACTTATTGATCAGTATAGTTTTTGTAAAAGCATTTTACGGCATTACGTTACTTCTTGTCCGTTTTTGTTCAATTGAGGTAGATTTTCAGAGGGATTTGAGTTTTTATTTTGTACTTTACGCATATCACACATTCCAGCATAGTTCGATCTCGTGAGAAATCAAGTTCAGCATGAGTAGTTGTATTTTTTGAAGTTGTATGTTTTCGCAAGCAATTCGTATCGTCGACATCAATGACGACGGACGACAGTCGTAATGATAACAAGGACAATTTTTATGTCTGTGGCGAATACGTGTGTGCGTGTGCGTATGTGTGTGTGTGTGTGTGTGGGTGCGCGTGTGTGTGTGTGTGCGTGCGTTCGTTCGTGCGTGCGTGCGGGCACGGGGAGAATTTGGAAATCTTCCAAAGTAGTAAAAATGTAGCTCGCAATGACACGCATGAAAACAACGAGCAGGGATAAAATTGGTGACGAGTGATCTTGCCCCCGCAAGTCGGATCTTGTCGGGAGCCTAATTACCAGAACGGAAATCCTGTAAGCAACAATAAGAATGCAAATAGCTAGGGACAATATTACTGCCAAACTTGACTATGAATTAGTTAATTTCTAAAGAAGTGATGCGTGCGGAAGACCTCGTCTATATAGGTACGTTTCTCGTTAGTATTTTTATATCTCGATATAATGTAAATACAGTACAGTTAAACCTTTTTCTTTATCAACGTATGCGACAATGTGGGGCGTTTCGCGCCGGATATCCACCGATGTGAAGTAACGTGCTGCGAAACGCATGCCCTCTTGCGTAAAAAAAAGAAAGCAATTTTGCTATTTCTACAGCAAGATTGTTGATATTTTTTACCGATAGTCAAAATTGTTTATTGGATACCGCCGATGTCAGTGTTGTGCGAAATGGAAATTTTAAGGCGAGTTAAAGTACCAATTTTACGTATTTACGAGATAAGGAGTTGAGTAAGTAAGTAAACAAGCCGGTTTTTACCGTTCAGGCTGTTTGTGCCACAATATATACCCTCGCATCTCGTTGGAAATATTAAAAACAGAAGTGCAATGAGGTATAACAAACGTAATGAAGAACGTAAGAAGAAAATAAGCAAATTAGTTATAAAACGTTTAAAAACAAAAGTAAGCAAGCAAGGCTTCACTATGCTTTGCACAGCGTTCTCACGATAAGGCTTTATTTTACACGTACACGGCGATACAAGTGTTCGTGGTAGATCCTGACGGGGACACACACTCCACCGACAGTAGAGCTAATGTCTCAAATGTCGCATTGAATGAAACCGAGCAAATGGTAGCGAGCGACAAATAACACAACCTGATGAGCGAAACGAAATGTACCGAGAAATATTTCGGACTTATTTAGATAAATCTAGATTTAATTTCTTTCTATGGCGAAGATAACATGAACATTTGAACATATTGTGTATCTTTTTTTATGTTCGAAATTAATTCCGCAGTTGGTTGATAGACAATCCTGCGAATTTGAAACAATTGGCAGAAACGACGAATATACTAGGCTCTGTAGAGAATTAATTTCACATACACGGAGGAAAAAGATTGGTTAAAAGAAAAAAAGAGGATTGAATTAACTGACTGATCAATTAAAGCTTTGGAGTAATCGCTGCGGCTATATTGGATTTCGTGACATCATAGGCGAAAAATGATATGTTTAAAAATATTGCGTGCTATTTGCAAATAAAGAAGTATTTGGATAAAACAACGCTTGAGGTCGTTTAAAAACTTTTGTGAAAATGGATGAAAACTTTCCTTTTCCTTCCTGACAGTCAATAAATGAACATAAAAGGCACGTGAAATAAGGCCCTGTTCATGTGAAAAACACACGATTTCATATTTGAAAGAAGTGGAAAATATGCTTCCATGTATCAAATTTCAAGCTAATCTTAGATTTCGTCCATTTTTACGGGTTTAATAAGTATGTTACAAGGCACATCTGCATAGTTATGTAAATAATAAGAAAATAGCACGCAATACAAAATTTCGTCGTCAACACACTACTCTTCACTCATATAAGTGCGGTCTGGCAAGCGTTACAAATACTTCGAAGCGTTTCTCATTCTTTTCCTTCCTTTCCTCGAAACCAAAAGATAAATGAAAAAGGAGAAACGCTTCGAAATATTTGTAGCGCTTGCTAAACCGTACTCTATTATTCCATCTTTTGTCGTTCTGAATTGTGTTACTACTGTTAACGCGGAGTTCTTGGCTGAATATTTCGGAGCGTTAAATGAAGGAAACAGAATTTCTGGTCGTAAGAATCGAATTTAGAGTTCATAAGAATTATATATAGGATATTAATAGAAAATTTCTGTTTTAACAAAAACCCGTTTGGTTCATTTATTGTCGCGTTAATTCGACTAATCTTTTTTCTCTGTATATCATCGAAAAAATAAAAAATTCGCCGTAAATTTATTCTCATCATAGACGTCGAATTACACGCGTTAAAAAAATTGTGCAAAAATATATGCGTTTCAAGAGCTAAAGGTCAAAGTTGAAATATACTTCGAAATTTTTAATATATATATTGGCTGCATTTATCAGAAAAAGTAGCTAGTAAGTACTTTCCGCTGCGCTTTGCAATTGTTGTAAAATTTCTGCTGAACGACACTTAGCAATTTACGCTGCTCTAACATGTTTACTAAATGATCCAGTGTATTAAAAATATGCTAGGGAAAATGGCGATCGCTTAGCAAATATGTTGAAAAAGCCTTAATCGTTGGTGTTGTTCAGCAGAAAATCTTATAACAATTGCAAAGCTGCTAGCAGCGAGGCGCAAAGAGCTTACTAAGCTGCTTTTTCTGCTGAACGCAACTTATATTTACGGTTAAATTGCATCTAGAAATTTTGATTGATTCAAATATTTCTGAAAAAATTCCATTGCAAAATTGCCGAAAACATTCCTTATATATTATACAACGTATCCAACGCAAGGCGTGCCAAACCATATAGAATGTATGTAACAGATCAAGCTGAGAAGTAGGACCGATATCATTTTGTGAAATACTAGATAATTTATGAATTATTAATGAAAATGGATAAGTGAATCTGCGCGCGTGATACAGTGGACGCACCGCCACACAACTTGATTCGACGCGATCGGCATGGAAAATGGCTGATCGCGCAACTATCTATTAGCAATGGTGAGTATCAGATGGCAACAGAAGGCGGAAAAATGATCTGAGCGGCTCGTGGACGATTGTTTGTCAACGTGCCACCCGCGTATCGTCGTGACGCGTCAGGCGCATCGATTCATGCGGCAGTCCGCTCACCATATCGAGTACGCTGATTCGCCTATTTATTTTTGTTAATAACTCGAAATTTTACGTAATATTTTACAAAATAATATCAGTCCTATTTCTTAGTTTAATATGTTGTACAGTAGACTCCCGTATAACGCGGTTAATAAGTTACGCGCTATATGAATTCGCGTTATAGGAAATCATGCTGTACGGGAATTTTTCTCGCATAACGCGTATAATCTAAAGTAACACGTTTGAAATGATTATTGCTATGCCAACCAAAAAACCTTTTATTTCATTGAAATTTAATAAAGATATAATTATACAAATTTATATTTTGTTTTAAAAAATTTTTTTTAATTGAAAACTTCGTTATCGTTATATTAAGAGTGACCGCGTCAAAAAACAAAACAACGATGAAACAGAAGAAGTCGATGCGTTGTACGAAGAATCGTTTTATATGAAAACAGTAGTCGTAATATCTTTGGCGTGTTTTAGGAATTCACGTTGTAAGAACTCGCGTTATACGGGAGTCTATTGTTATGTTTTGTGTGGTTTGACACGCCTCGCGTCGGACACTAAACATGGAGTGTAGTATTTCAAATGTAATGAGAGAAGGAGAGAAAGAGAAAAAACGTGAATATGTCGTAAAAATTTTTATTCTAAACAGAATGTTAAAGTAAAAATCATAGGGGACACATAGCGACTGTAATAGCTTCATGGATGATAGTTTATCATGGATAACATTCTTCCCACAGAATAACAGGCTAATTAACGCGTTTTTATAGAAAACACGGTCTTTTTTCTAAGTTACTTTTTCTAAGTTGCTTTTTTAGGGTTTGTATAAAAGAAATTCTCTCTATTCTAAGAGCGAGGATTAAAATTTGGTCTCTTCCGCTAGCTATATTGGTTTTGTGACATCATAGGCGAGAAATGACATACAGTCAATTTCTTGCAATATGCAGCTTAATTTTCCTTGAAAAACAATGATTTTGTAATCTTGAAACCTGTAAAATGTGCAGAAAATTGAGATATCTAGCTGATATGTCACGTAGAATCGTAAAAAATTCTTCAAATAACGAATCATTTTTCAGCCATATTCGGGCGGTCGTAATAGCTGAAAAATGAACTGTTATTTCAAGAATTATTTTGTGTTTCTACATGACATATCGGCCAGATATCCAAGTTTTTTGCACATTTTACAGGTTTCAAGATTACGAAATCATTGTGTTTTTTGGAGGAAATTAAAAAATAAAGCTACATGTTGAAAGCAACTTACTGCATGTCATTTCTCGCCTATGATGTCACAAAACCAATATAACTAGCAGAGGGAACCGAGTTTTAAACGAAATTTATACTAGTTTTCTCGATATTCGTTTAAATTCTAACCATTAAAAATTTCTATATTCTTTTAATGTCGTATGTTAATAGAAGCTGCTTGTGAATGTCTAATTTTGTTATATTTGTTGTTCTTGAATACATTTAGATTAAAAGATCGACTTGACAGTATGATTATACTCACAGTAACATTTCTGTTAAAACGAAAGAACAGAAATGCAAAAATTTTAAGATCTGTGATATAAATTTTTCCCCGTCTAATTTACCTTTCCTGCGATTTTGTGAAGTCCGTCAAGGGAAATATGTGTAAATATATGGCACTTTGTTTTTTCTTTTTATTTTCCGAAAATTGCTTTATTTATAATTGAACTGCAGAGATTAAAATCGTCATTAGAATTCGACGTTTGCACATCGGTATTGCGTAACGACCGAAACAAAAACTAGCCCGATTGTCACCGGTATAATGATCTGTGTATCGGGTATAACATATATCTTTCCTGTAATTCCCGTTATACTAGTATTATTCCCCGATATTACTGCTGTTGCGTTACTAGACATCGATATTGCCGAAGCAATCGGATTTGTTTTTGCGTATTTATCGCAAAAATTCGCCATGGCCGAGAACACACAAATTTGATTCACTTCACAACTGTAAGAACATAATAATGATTGTAATTAACACATTGATTGCCCCGTCAATTTCTATGGAACGTTTGATGGTTTAACTAAAGTTTGAGCAACCAAAAATGAACAAATGCAATTTTTAACACATGCGTTTATATTATTTCATTTTATTAGCTTTTTTACTGATCCTACATCTAACTAGATATACGCAATTCACATCTTATACGTAAATTAATGAGATGCGTTAGTAGCGCTTTTCATCGATAATCACTGTGACAGTCAACGTGTTAAAAGTAAAGTTTCAAGTCTACAAGAAAAAATATATTGTTAAATACATCGTATTTCTTTCTTTTTTTTGTGATATTTTTTACAGTATGCACTTCAAGGGAATTATCGTTCTATAAATATGATTAAGCTAATAATTGACGCCTTCAATAATACAATAGCAGTATATTGATCATAATTAACCGATATTGTGCCAGAAAAGTATATATATGCCTATACTTGATGGTCGTTATAGTTATACAAGTTATTTGCACATCAATTTTCACAAAAATGGAGATATATGAAGTGGCTCAGAACGACCGTCCACTCTGATTTTTTTCTGAAAACTATTGAAGATTAAAGGGGGATTTATGAGCTGTCGAAAATTAATATATGGTAACATTCTTAAAAGGCTCCTACCACTTATAGAATTTTTATTCAAAATTAGGTTCTTTCAATCTGATCAAGAACAATTTCAGATTATACAAAACTTGAAATTTATTGAAAATTTCTGAAATGCTTAGAAATCTCAAAAAAAAAAATTGCAAGAATTAAAATGTGCTACACTTGAAAAATTTGGTCTTAAAATATATATACAAAGTCTTTTTATTTGAAAGTTTCAAGAACCTCTGTCTGCACTTTTTCTATTGGAAGATCAAAGTGTTGGAAAAATTTCACTTAAATTGTATTTAGTCGATATGGTATATACAATTTTTGTCGTCCTCAATATTCTGAA